AAAAAGAAATGCTATATACTGTGAAGATATATGTGATTGGGAACCAGCAGTTAGCGTAATGGCTATGTCGCTGGACTCCCACGTAGTCGACCGCGGTTCGTGTCCCGGACCCGGTGGCTTAAAACTCACGCCGGGCGCGTGTGCGTGCGTGCCCAAGATCCCCAGAGGAGAATGGAGGAGAAGGGATTGCGGCATGACCATCCCCCCTGGGGGGTGATTTCTCGCTTTCTGTCTCTATGTCTCTCTCTGTCTGTCGGCGAGCGCACGCGCCCTACAGTGAAAATCTCTCAAAAAAAAAAAAAAAGATATATGTGATTAAATGCAATATAAAAATAATAAAAAATAAATGAAAAAAAGAAAATTCTTTTTAAAAATCACATGAAAATAAACAATACTGCTCATATTTAAACAGTACCCTAAAAAAAGTTCTGAGACCTGTTTTCTATGCTAAAAAGGAGACTAGCAGGGTCAGCAGGTAGCATGGTGGTTACAGTGTTGAATCCCCACATGGTCAACTGCAGTTCAACCACATGGACCCAGCAGCTTGAAAAAACACACCAGGCACATGTGTGTGCATGCCCAAAATCCCAAGAGGAGAATGGAGGAGAAGGGATTGCTTAATCCTGTTGGGCAGTGATTTCGCACTTTCCCTCTCACCAGCTCTCTCTGGTGAGTGCACATGCCACACGGCAAAACGCAAAAAAAAAAAAAAAAAAAAAAAGAGAGAGAGAGAGAGAGAGAAAGAGACTAGTAAATGTTGAGAGTTAAGAACATGCTAGCACTCAACTGAAACTTTCTTGATTTAATCAAGCCTTGAAAGCCATCTAAAAAGAGAAGAGCTTCCTATGAAGTGATTCAGGATGATCTCATGCTTGCCCACCCACCACCTAAAATGATCTCCTCCCACCTAATTTATTCCATAGACCATTTTGCATTCTATACTTCTGGAAACACTGGGTTAAAAAATGGTCCTGGCCCAGACTTTGGCCTGGTGGTTTGAGCTAGGTCTCACATGGCCAATCATATGGTTCAAATTCTGGACTCATTGGCTTAAAAAACACAGCCGCTGGGGATGTGTGTAGGTGTGCCCCAAATCCCAACAGGATAGAGAAATGGAAGAGAAAGGATTGTGGGTGTGTAGGTGTGCCCCAAATCCCAACAGGATAGAGAAATGGAAGAGAAAGGATTGTGGAGTTACCCGTTGGGAGTCATTGGGGATACTTGCTCTTCCTCCCTCTCTGGGAACATACATATCTTCAGAAAAAAAAAAAAAATCCTGTTCATAAAGGTTGGAGCCCAAAGAGGGGATGAAAAAAAAACAAAACTTAGCTCTCCCGGAACATCAACAGATTTACTTTCTTCCTTCAGCCATTTCAAAACATGCTTAAAAGGTTTGTTTTTCCATTATGAGCACTTAAGCAAGCAACTAACACAAGGATCCATGAGAGCTGCTTGTCCTAGTCCTGGTTACAAAGAGCGCTCACACTTCACTATGTACTTAACAGGGCACCTCAGGAGCCTAGCAATAATCCACCTCTGCCTTCACGCATAATGTGTTTGGAGTCTCACAGGTGACAAGAGGCCCTGTATGTGAAAGCGCATGTTACAAAAATAGGTGCAAATGCCTTCCCTCATCTGAAATCTGTATCTTAAAACAAGGCACCAGTCCTGAGTTGCTGACTCATTAATACCTGCCTGAACTGACCTCAAAGTCCTTTCAAAAAAAAAAGAGAGAGAGAGAGAGGAGAGATATCAGATTACATAACAGACTTGTAATTGTAATGAGCAAAGAAAACTACCACATTCAAATGAAGCTCATTCACACTTCTCAAACATTTATCTAATGTACATCCAAAAAAGCAGACTGAATTGCCTGAAAATGATTTGAGAGAAAGTTTCACCTTCCCTCCAAGTTTCACTACATTACTTTGAAGAGAAAGAAAATATGAGCCAGGACAGTTTAATTTGTCTGGGAATATTACTTGTAAGAGAGGACAGAGTGACACCAACACATAAAGATGACATTCAAGCAGGAATTGAAAGGGAACTTGTATAAAAAAGGAAGATCAGAGTTTGATTCCTTTGACTTCAATGTCTGTATCTTAATCAGTCTCCCTTGAGTCAGCTGAGCCTCATTTCCTTCCCTCTCTCACTATCTCTCTCACTGCCTCTTCTGCATTCTCCGACCTCTTTGTCTTGTAAACCCCAACTTCCCAGTTCACCATTCCTCCCTCCCTCCCTCCCTCCCTC